TTACTTTGGAAAAATCTAAATGTTACTTTCCAAAGAACAAAGCACAACATTAGCATTTTAATACACAGTGATGCATTTTTTCCCAGGGGTTTACAGAGCTTTGCCTTATGCAACTGAATCTTCCCTCAGCCTTATGATAAATTTCAAACAGGAGGCGGTAAACTGCATAATTCAGATTAATGCCTCACTCGCATTCAGATTTTTTCCAGCACTTCACTGGAGAATGTTAAGATAATAGAATCATAGAGCTGTAGAGTTGGAGTCATCTAGTCCAACCCCCTGCAATGCAGGAATCCCATCCGAAGCCGGCCCTGGGTGGGCTCGAACCGCCAACCTTCTGGTTGACAGCCAGACACACTGACCAATAGTATGGTCTGGGACAGAGGTGAGGAACTCTTTTCAGCCCAAGGGCCTCATTCTTCTATGCACATACTTTTGGGAGGCTACATGCCAGTGACTTGGCCGGGAAAGAGCAATGAATTTAAATTCAAACTTTTGCACAGTAGTCAAGTTTCTACACACACTCAAATATCCCTCTCCATGATCCAGGCCAGAGGTGTCATCAGAGTTCAAGGATACATATCAGCCAGACAAAAACACTCAAGGGAGGTGTGAAACTACTAGTGAGGGGTGTAGCCTGAGGAGAGGGGCTGTGGCCCTATTAGTTTTCTGGTTTACATGCATAATTGTTTTTGCTTGTGACCTAGAAAAGCCATTTCTGGTTCAGGGATGAAACGTCATTGAAGCTAAGCAGGTCTGGTCTGGACATTGCCTGGATGGAAGACTACCTAGAAACTCAATGACTGCGTTCAGATGTAACATCAAACCATAGTTTAGCATTCAAAGAAGTAGCCCAGCCTTTTCCTAGGCTCATGTGCTTCCCCCCTCCTCTTTCTGGCTCTCTTGCAAGGAGGAGATCTAAAGCTTATGCTTCTGGTTTAGATTGACCACAGTTTAGCGTGTTGTTCAGAGCCTAAACTGTGGTTAATCTTAACTATGGCTGGTGTAAACAAGCCAACTTCAGAAATTATGTCTTGAAGTTGGCTTGTTTCCACTAGTCATAGTTTAGATTAACTTGTTTGTTCAGGTTTGGATGACATGACAAGCTACAGTCAATCAAACATGGAAGACGAAGCGTCTATACTTCTCCTTGCAGCCACACTGGAGGAAAAGGTAGTAAAAGCCACCCCCAGAAGTGTCTTGCTGGGTGTGGCAAAGCTGCTATGCCAGGTCCCCAGCTGGTGGGTCCCTGTTGCCTCCTGGGAGGAGGAGAGACGAGGCAGTAAGGGGGTTAGCATGAATCAGGCATACTTGCACAAGCACTGGATTGCCTCTGCTGGTATGTTTCCACCCCCCAACTACCCCACTGCTTCACCCCTCTTCCACCTGGTAAACAGCAGTGACCAACCTGCTGAGCAGTGAATGTAGTTCTCCATTTAGCAAGCTGCTTCTGGCCACCTCTAGTAGTCTTATTTGATAAAAGCAGTACATGACTGTAACAAATAAAATCCCTAGACCATAGGGGCAGAATCCAGTCAAAATGAAGGTCTTTGGAAGTTCCAGCTGAGATCAGTGCTTAATGTTGGCTGAATCAGAACCTCGATGTCATTGATATGCAAGCTACTATCAAACCTTGTATGGAAGAGCTGTAAACAAGATGTACGTTTCTTTTACCTCTTTTGAAGCCCTGTAGGATAACAGCAGTGAAGCTCTCAGGACCCAGGCAGCCGCTGGATAAGTCAAACAGTATTTTAAATACCAGAACACGGAGCTTTTCAGGAAGAGATGACAGAAGCATATGTTAGGGGGTGCCCTGGGACTTCCATAAAACATCAATGAACACCGGGTTTGAATATATTTTGTACTGCTCATTTTATTGACAGGCTGTCATAACCAAGCAAGAGAAAACCATAAAACCATAAACCACAACAGCAAACCGAAATAAATTGCTGCCAGGCTACTAGGTCAATACTAGTCTCGCAGTGTTCGGCTAATACACACACTTGGCTCTTATAATGATGGAGAAGGGTACTCTAATTCAGAGTGGTGGCTTGGTGGGGTGGGAACTGATTCACACAGGCAACATATCCTACTTGTGAATAGCCACAGTCTATGTATCCCTGGGTGCAATTGCATAGGCAAACTTTAATGGGGCTATGTCCAGGTAGCATGTTGATCACGTGCAAACACCTGTACACGTGTCACAAAAGGACACGTGATCTCCAAGATCTTGGGCCTTGTAGTGTCCCATGGGGACTTTGCCTTGCAGACCACTTATGGGGAATGGTAGCAGAGCACAAATTTTGCCCAGTCGTGGTGCAAAATCAAGGTCTGATTTTATTACAGAACTGAAAAATGATCAGAATGTTTAAATATGCATGGAAAGGCTATTCTGGCATCACCCTGCCTGGACCAGTCGTATGGGGAAGGAGGGAGACAGAGAAGAAAAGGCAGAGCTAGAGGGAACTACTTTTGCTGTATATGGGGTGAGGACATAAAAAGAGCCCTCTTGGATGAGACCAAAGACCCATCTAGTCCAGTATCCTGCTCTTGTTGTGGCTGCCCACAAGCAGGATATGAGCACAATGGCCTCTCCCCACTTATGATTTCTGGAAACTGGTATCCAAAGACATACCACCTCCAATAGTGGAGATAGAAGACAGCCATCATGACTGATAGCCCTATCTTCCCTCATGAATTGGCCTAACCCTCTTTTAAAGACATCCAAGTTGGTGGCCATCAGTACATCTTGTGGGAACGAATTCCACAGTGTGCTGCATGAAGAAGTGCTTTATTTTGTCTGTCACAAATCTTCCAGTATCCGGCTTCATTGGGTGTTGCCAAGTTCTTGGTATTGTGAGAGAGGGAAATGTCTCCCTATCTGCTTTCTCCATGCCATGCTTAATTTTGTGTCGCTCTCTCGCGTCTCCCTTACTCGCTTTGTTTCTCAGATTAAGAGCCCCAAAGGTTGTAACTTTTCCTCACAGGGGACCTGCTCCAATCCCTTGATCATTTTGGTTGCCCTTTTCTGAATCCTTTCCAGCTCTGCAGATAAGGGAAAGAGGAGGTGGGCTAGAGATCTGGCAGGCTTCTGTGGCGAGGTTCGTTTGACAACAATGGGAAATTGAGTCTTCAGGGTCGTTGGCCCAGTCCTGTGGGACACCCTGCCAATCGTGATTTAGCGGGCGCCTTCTGTGCCAATGTTTAAATGCCCACTGAAAACTTTTCTTTTCTGCCAGGTGTAGGCAGGCAATTAAGAGTACATCCCACACAATGGGGTGTGTGGGTATGTCTGTTTTCAATTTCTTTTTGCTTTTAACTAGTTTTTAACTTTCTGTGATTTATTGTTTGGTTTTATGTTTTTATATTGTTGTAAACCACTGTGATATGTCTTTATGCTGCAGTAGTATATAAATATTTTTATAAATAAATAAAACAAATAAGCCTAGTTGCAATGAGGACAACGAGGGATGAAAACTGTGTGAGTGTCTGGAGGCGGTTGGAGGATGGATGGCGGCTTACAGATTGAGGTTGAATCCTGACAAGACAAAAGTATTGTTTTGGGGGGGATGGGTGGTGGTGGTGTGGAGGACTTCCTGGTCCTGAATGGGGTAACTGTGCCCTTGAAGGACCAGGTGCGCAGCCTGGGAGTCATTTTGGACTCGCAGCTGTCCATGGAGACGCAGGTCAATTCTGTGTCCAGGGCAGCTGTTTACCAGCTCCATCTGGTACGCAGGCTGAGACCCTACCTGCCTGCGGACTGCCACGCCAGAGTGGTGCATGCTCTGGTTATCTCTTGCTTGGACTACTGCAATGAGCTCTACGTGGGGTTACCTTTGAAGGTGACTAGGAAACTACAACTAATCCAGAATGCAGCAGCTAGACTGGTGACTGGGAGTGGCTGCCGGAACAGTATAACACCAGTCCTAAAGGATCTTCACTGGCTCCCAGTACATTTCCGAGCACAATTCAAAGTCTTGGTGCTGACTTTTAAAGCCCTAAATGACCTTGGCCTAGTATACCAGAAGGAGTGTCTTCACCCCCATAGTTTAGCCTGGACACTGAGGTCTAGCTTCGAGGGCCTTCTGGTGGTTCCCTCACTGTGAGAAGTGAGATTACAGGGAACCAGGTAGAGGGCCTTCTCTGTAGTGGTGTTCACCCTGTGGAACGCCCTCCCATCAGATGTCAAGGAAATAAACAACTATTTGACTTTTAGAAGACATCTGAAGGCAACCCTGTTTAGGGAAGTTTTTAATGTTTAATGCTTTATCACATTTTTAATATTCTGTTGGGAGCCGCCAAGAGTGGCTGGGGAAACCCAGCCAGATGGGTGGGGTATAAATAAATTATTATTATTATTAAAACGTTGCAGGTTTCAGCTAAATGAGGGTGAGATGAGAGAAATGAGAGGCAAGGAGTCCAAATGGTTCCTCCAGACACATGGACATGAAACATGGACAAGCCAGCACATGCAATCCCAGACTCCATTCAAACCCCAATTCCATAGGTGGGGAACACTTGGCTCTCCAAATATTGTTGGACTACAGCTCCCATCATCCCTGAGCATTGGCTATGATGACTGGAGCAGATAGGAGCTTGAGTCCAACAGTATCTAGAAGGCCACAGGTTCTCCACTCCTCATTTATATGCTTTTATGAATGCTTTTATGGGTATTTTGCTGTTACATTTGTGCCATTAGCACCTATTGGCTAGGGAAGGAAGAAAAATACCAAAACCAAAGGAAAGCTGAGAATAAAATCTGGAAAAGGCAATTAAAACATAAAACAAAATTTTGCAGGTGACTGCAGAAAGTAGAAGGAATTCTTAGTATGAACAATACTACTTTCTCCCACAGAAAATGTACCCAATGTACCTGCATAACACGAGGAGAACTTAGCTGTGTTTCTTTGGTTAATCATTATCCCATTGAGTAATTTGATTTTAATTGATGTCTAGCTCATGAATAAATCTATTCATTCTCTTTAACAAAGAATTCACACAGGTGGATTTCTGCTCTCCCCCTGCTAGAGAGCAATCCAACACTGATGGTCTCAACAGATAGACTAAGTCTGGCGGCTGATGGGAACTGTGTATGCCAATAAGTAAGGTAAATATTAGCATACTTGATAAACTCACTGTGGCCAAGATCCAAAGGAGGACTGTGCAGCAGGTGCAGGAGAGAAACTGCATGCATCTTGAGTAAACGGACCAAGTGAAGGGACTAGGGATGGAGGAGAAATTGAAGTCATCTTGTATTTTTATTATTATTATTATTTATTAAATTTATATACCACCCTTTATCAAAAGATCTCAGGGAGGTTCACAGACTAAACAATGTAAAGAAATGTATGTATATAAAGAAACACGAGCCTACCCTAATTTGCACTTTCCAAAAGAGGACATAAACCAAAACTGAAACACAACTATCCTTTGAGAACTGCATTACAAAACTTGGAGCAGTGCAAATTTTGAAGGATGGCTGTGTTTTGGATTTCACACTGTTTTGGAAAGCGCAGTTTAGGCAGGCTTGCCCTTAAATGTGAACGGAATCAAATTTCTCCCCTATCCCTAAGGGATGCTTGAATTTCCTCTCCTATTGTCATGCTAGGATTGGGTAAGAATCTGTCCCCAAGCCTCAGAATGGAGAGAGCCATCAAGAAGCAATGCCTTCTCAGTGAAGACCGCTATATTGAATCAGCATATAAGTGTAATTCTCCTTGATGGGCAGAATGCATATGTTTTACTGCAGTAAGTCTCCTGCAAGTGCCAATTTTATCAGTAAAGATATGGAGTATTCCCCCCACATACACATGCACAGATAAAGTTAGACAATTTCGAATAGATTTCTTCCCTTTCTGTTATCTGAACATTGTTGTCATGATACCATACAGCGCCTGTTCATTCTAAACTCTGCTAGAGGGCAAAAAAAATATTTATGGCATACTTTAAATAAAACATATTATGTGTTCGTACGAACATATGTATCATTGTCCCTCTAGCTGAAGCAGATATAATTTCTGACAAGGTGTGCATGCAGCCTCATGCAGAATTCATGACTTCGTGTTGCATAAGAATGAAGGCGCTCCTTTTGAAACACTTTTCTAGCACAATAAGTACTCATTTTTTAAACCAAAAATGGGGGGTGGGAGGGTGGGATTCTTCTTGATTGTTTTGGGCAAATGCTATGGAAGTGAGGAGTCTTTCTTTTTCTTTTAAAAAGCATTATATGGGATTGAGATGGAGAACCTTGTCCAACCAGGTTTCCCATCAAATTCAGCTGAATGTCTCAGTGAAAATATGACATGAATTTTCTCTCAGGCTACTGGCAGTCCAGGTCAATAAATATGTGTCTTGAGTTATGGGTAGTTGAGCATTTTCCGAGGAAGAAAAAAAAGTAGTATCCATATTAATGTCCCAATGTCAGTTAACTCCTAGAAAGACAGCAGTCCAGTTGAATTACTTTGGGAAAAGCAACTTTACAACAGGGTGAGTTTTCCATTACTATTTCTGTGCTATGTGCAAAGCATGCCATGAAATGTACGCTGCCCATTGAGGTATCTGGTTGGCCAATGGATGCTAGACTAAATGGGTCTTTGGCCTGAGCCAGCAGGAATCTTTATATATTTTAATATATGCTCCATAGTAAGCTGAACTTGCCCATTCTGCCCATATTTATGTCTGTAGAGCATGAGACCTGAAAGAAGCACATTTCACTCATGCTCTGCCACTTTTTCTGATGAACACCGAAGACATGCCTGTGGTGGCACAATCTGAAGGGTGAGTATTAAACTCATTCAGACTGTAATCTAAATCTCTGGCTGGCAGCATGGGAGTGGTGTAGCAGGGTGGATTTAGGGCTGTGAGATAGAGTGCTGAGCCTGGTAAGTGAGGCAATGGGCTTTGGGAAAGAGGTGTGAGGCTCTGACAGGGTCCTCAAGTCCTCCTGTCTCCTTCCCAAAGCCTAGTTAGCACTTAGTTGGCTTGGGGGAGGAGGAGGGAGGAATCTAGGACCCCGTCAGAGCCCCCATGCCACCTTCCCATAGCCAGGCATGTGCTTACTGGGCTCCCTCTCCATTCAGTGCCCAGTGTGGGGGAACCAGTCACATTGCCCTAAAACTGCCTCTCTGTCTGTCTCCCAGCAATGCAATTATCTGCAAGGGATTTCCACAAAGCGTGGTTAATGTTGCCAGTCTTCATGCTATGTTTGCAGAGCACAACACTATTTAACCCTACTTGACTTAGCTACTTATTTGTCTGTTTTTCTCAGAATCCAGTCACTCATATCTCAAGGTGCTTCTCTGTGCTGGGCAGATCAGAGATGGGGATGACTGTGTAACAACCTGTTCTCTACAATAACTGATAAAGAGGTTTTGCTCTATAGCAACTGATAAAGAGGTTTTGCACCCCGCTGGCTAGTGATAACATGTGGAGGGCTGGCGTAGATCTAATTGTTTTACAGGTTAGATCTATAAGCTCCCTACAGAGCTCCCTGTGGACTGAGAAGTGCAGTCGTATGAAAGTGGTGTTGATCTCATCTTATGGCTTAGACGCTTGGAAACATCTTGGCTTTTTTTTTTTTTTTACATTCATATCATACCACAAACAATGTTTTCTTAGAAATTGTGATATAAGCCTCAGCAATAAATCAGTTAATGGTTTCCTTGAAATGCAGGAAGAAAACAGGCAATCAGCTGACCCATCAGCGAACTCTGTTATGCAATGTGTTCTACACTTTCCATTTTGATAACCAGTTATTACAAAGTGGGGGAAGTGGACTAGAATAACTAATGCAAAATATGATAGCTTAGAGACTTTCCAGGGATTTTTTTCTTTCATTAATTTTTTTTTAAATGTTGCCAGTCCATATGGATTTGTCAAATAGACTGAAGATTCTTGTGCAGTTTCCTCAAGGATAGTGGCTTTAAAAAGAACTCAGGGGGTTGTATCCAATTCTAGTAAACTCATAGAAGCTAATAGACAAAACTTACAAAGGTAAGAACTTGTGCTGGATACAGCTCAGGAAAGCCAAGCAGGCATTTTAGCATTATACAGGGAAGCAGGCTTAATTTTAAATGACGTAAGGCACTGTCAGGGCTGTTCCACTTCAGATTGCCACTGAGGACTCACAGGATGGGATGTTCCTTCGTGCAAAAATGTTTCCTACACATAGAAAACTATGGTGTCGAGTAGATGGTGAGCCAGGAGCTGGGGACCAGGAGCTCTGGGGCAATTGAGAAGTGAGGAGCAAAGGGCAAACAATGAGGCAGGGCTGAGGAATTAGCCAAAAGTCAGGACCAAAGAGCAAGTCAGAACCAGAGGACAAATTAGGAGACAAGAAACCAAAATACGATATTAAAGGTAAAGGTAAAGGACCCCTGACAGTTAAGTCCAGTCGCAGATGACTCTGGGGTTGTGGTGCTCATCTCGCTTTACAGGCCGAAGGAACTGGCGGGTCATGTGGCTAGAATGACTGAGCTGCTTCTGATGCAATGGAACACCAAAACCAGAGCAGCGCAAGGAAACGCCATTTACCTTCCCACCAGAGCAGTACCTATTTATCTACTTGCACTTTGGGGCATGCTTTCAAACTGCTAAGTTGGCAGGAGCTGGGACTGAGCAACAGGAGCTTACCCCGTTGCGTGGATTCGAACCGCCAACCTTCTGATCGGCAAGCCCAAGAGGCTCGGTGGTTTAGACTGCAGCGCCACATGCGTCCCTTAAACATATTAAAACATATTAAAATGATATTTAAACAGTCTAAAACAAAACCACAGTTACAAGAATGGGGTTGGTCCCCAAAACATACACCTCTGGTGTCAAATGTCAAGAACAGCTCCAAGGAGGCAGACAGTCACATCTAATTGGGACCACAGTGTGGATGGATAGGGTTAGCTATTTAACTTTTAAAAACTTAACATGGTTATTGCAGTCACATTGTTAATGTCACATATAGCATCTCTCTGTGGGGTATATGGGGTGTTAGGGAGGGGTAGTACCTCTGGTGAGGGACACGCCGTGCTCCTTCTGGGGCAGTTTGTCCACCTTTGGTCCCCATTCTGCACTTAGCTCTCACTTGTGGCTCCTAGAAGCTGTCAGCATGCAACAGTGTCCACACCTTGGGAAGAGCTTCGACTGGCCGGCTAAACCAGGTGAGGGTAGCCAATGAGTCTCAAATCCTCTGTTAATTAGGGACTTCCCCTGCAGGTGAAGAAGACAGGCACTAGCAGATTGGATGAGACCAAGAGTGGATCCAACGGTCAAGAAGGCAATTTCTGCACATGCTGTGAGGTGAGGGGCAAAAGGGGCTCATCAACTGGGGAAGATAGTTCATCTAGGAGAAGCAAAACTCTTATTCTAAAGCTCTGCTGCCTAGCAGGGTATCTTTGGGAGAAGAAAAGGCTAAGGACTAAACCCTACACAAATCCAGAGTGGTGTCCCTACAGCGGTTCAATGGCGCCTTTCACACCTCCTTCCGAGAACTTCTGCAGCCAAGCTGGTGCCAGACATATTGCTTTCCTTTCCTTTGGACCACATCACTTAAGCCAAGAGGGGATCTTGTCGTCTGGGTGGCCCAAGACACTGCCCAGGCTTGCCCCCTGGGGAGGTCACTTCGGTACTGCGAACCCAGTGGTTCCACACCTGGAGGTACACTTCATTGTCTCTCAAGACAGATGGATGCCAACAGCAACAAATGTCTCTGTCTCTGTGTTGTTACTACCTGTGCAATAGGTGTGTGGGCCAAGCAACCATCTCCCCTTCCCCTCACAGGAAATCTGTACAGAGGACCCAAGTGCATGCAGCTGGTGAAGGATGCACACCTGCATCCATATTGCAATGCTCTCCCAGAGCTATTGAACTGCAGAGAAGCACTTTTTGATGTCCAAAGGAATGTGTGTCACCATCTGGGGGCTACCAGTTTTTCCACTCAGCTAGTTACGCATGATGAAAACTTAGCCAGGGCTATTACTGTTGCCCAGAAGGTGGGATTTAGCTACTGTGATAGATCTGGCTCCGTTCCTGTATCATTAAGCAAGCACACGCACACACACTGCACAGTATTTCATAATAAATATGTGTCTCTTTTATTAGCATAACTGGCTCTTTGATTTGTTTCAGGTTTTATGATGTTTAGACAAACGGATTTGGACAGTTAAAATTCCACTTAGGCTTGATGCATTGTATCTGCTTGACACACAATAACATTGATTTATAAGATGCAATGAATCTCTAATTAGATTTTGGCAGGATAGTCGCAGTCAGAAAAGTTCCTCTAAGTGCTCCATTGGAAGGTGTAATGAAGGCCATCTTTTAATTAACCAGTTCCCCTCCAAAGGACTATAAACATAACACCCCTTTGCCTCTGCCCTTTGACCTGTGTCACATCAGCCTTCTCAAACACACTCTTCCAGTGTGTGATTTATAGGGTATATTTAAAGAGTGATCATTACTACAACATGTGGTGGATACCAGATCTCAGCAACACATCAGCAACCCCTTTTTTTGGTTAGTAAACGAATGAAGCAAAGCTTCAGGTTGAAAAATGAGTTTATGATTACACAACAGTCTTAAGTGTTCTGTAAATTTCAACTTTTATGACCGCCTATTGTAAAAGCAGAATAAAAGGGACCATTAAATAAATAGGAAGAACTTATTTTCAATCAAGTTTAAGTGAAAGACTTGGAAAGAGAATCAACCCAGAGGTATGGCTCCACTTTTGTGATAAATGGGTACAACTTCACTTTATGTTCTTGGGAGATCATTGGAACTGGGTACTTCAGAGTCACGCCCTTTTTCATTTCTGTAGAGCTGGGGTGGCTAGATGGCAGATTGTTATGCTTGATACTGAGCAATCCTTGACTTTGACTAAGCACTGAACCCCCTAATGATTCTAGCATTAAGGTACGCACTCTGGCAATGGTTTTTCATTGTGCGATTAAAACATACCTAATTGTGAAGGCATTCCTGAGCAATGATTTTTAGTAATACCTCTACAGACAATTCTTGATATTTGTGGTATTTTGGGGTTTGGTTTTTTTGAAGTATTTTATTCTTATTTTCATTTATGAATCAATTCCTAGGGGACACCCAGGATCATTCAGTTTGTAACTTAAAGGTCATTTCTGTTATTCATAAGGTCCACTATCCAAAAGGAGGATGGTTGGGAATGTTGCTTAGCAACCAGGCAGAGTGGCATTATCTCTGCTGAGGTAGCATATGGTTTGATTGGCTGAGTAGTTCTGAGGGAAATTTTTCCTGTGTATGTTTGGTTGACTGTATCCCTGCTATGTAAACCTCAGTTTAAGAATAGTTTCAAGTTTAGAACGGACCTCCGGAACGAATTAAGTTCTTAACCTGATGTACCACTGTATATAAATGTTTAAATAAATAAATAAATAACATTTTGATTGTCAACATTGGCTCTAGTCAGGAATAGGCTTGAAAGATTTGTTCCTACGAACTCTTACTCAGCTTCAGTGTCCAGGACATCTGTCTGTGAAATAATTATCATGTCATTGTTATGTGAGCTATTTGCATCTTAGAAGCTTGTTGTTGACTCAACTATCTGCACAGGCTGATAGTTTGAGATGATTAACTGATGTCATGGATGGTGTGTTTTGTCCCTGCTAAGGGAATAGCGAGTGGGACTGACATTTAAATGGCTTTTCTTTAAACATTACAGCAGTGAGAGCAGTAAACTGAAAGCAGATGCAAATTCTAGTCCAGAAAAGTCTTTAGAAGCAAAAAATAAAAAAAAAAAAAATTCTGCACTTCAAAAAACAAAACAAAAATGAAGACACAATATTGACCACTCCCCAGGAAAAGCTGAGGAAAAACTACAGAGATAAAGAGTCATAGCTTTGAGCTTCAAGATCATTTAATAGGAATGCCTATAAATTTTTCTCGGTCGTTGGCTGGATGCTTTGGTTCCAATTTATGCTTCTTTTACAGATGTAATCACAGTATTATAGAGTTGGAAGGGACCCCAAGGGTCATCTAGTTCAACCTCCTGCAAGGCAGGAATCACAGCTAAGGAATCCCTGACATTTAGCTATCCAATCCCGTTTTAAAAACCTCCAGTGAAGGAGAGTTCATCACAGGGAGGGGCATATCAGTATATTTCCAGTCGGTGTAATCTTCATATGTGTTCGCCCACGACTCAGGTCCATCCCATTTCAGCAGTAACCTGCCATTTCAAAAACAAAACAAACAAAACAAAACACCACCACCTGCATGAAGATTTGCTGTTCCCTTTCTCAAAATATGTGTTTCTAACAATGCTTGGAAAGTTCATTTAAAAATAGATTTCAGTAGGACTTACTCCTGTGATGACTTACATAGGATTGCAGTCTTAGGGTCTTTACCATCCTTGAATGATGTAACAAATCTTAACGATTATTTCATCCTCACAGCAACAGAGGCAATGCTAACTATGCCCATTTATGGGTGTAAATCCACAAAACACCAAGAGTTAATGTTGGCTTATGCATTAACCAAAACTCAGCTCACACCCTGAGCAAACTTTGGCTGCAAGGTTTTCTTCAAATAGGCAAGAAGCGAACTTAGTGCCAAGACAATCTTAAACATGACACATCTGTTGATTTTGGGTCATGGTGGGGTGGCAGCTCCTTCTACAGCCAATGGTGTAATGGAATTGTTAGTTGCTTAGGAATGCCTGCTGACCTCATCTGATGGCCTCTTCTCCCATGACTGCCCATATTCCATTCTTTCCTTGCATCCCATTCACTTCTTCCATTGGGCGAATTCCCTTCACTGTCTTTACTGGTGGGGTAAAGCTACAGTCAAGAGGAAGGGTCAAAGGACATGCTTTGAGTAACACCGCCCCTTGATTATTGCAATGAAAATACATGAGTTAGTTTATGACACTTCATTTGGTTAAGAATATGGCAGACAAATTACTAGCTGAGACTTGATTAAATATGCATTTGGGGGGGGGCAGGAGGGGAGTGCAGTGGGTTGTATTCATCTAAGTCCTACACAGAGCAGACCTGTTGAAATTAAGAGGCCACCTGCCTGTGGTGGAAAGGGTAAGAAGCAAAAAGTAGGTGGAACAACAAATGCAAGTTTTCCCTTGTATGTGACAGGTTAGTTTCTACACACACTAACATCTCTCCCCCCCCCCTCTCTTTCATCCAGGGAAGCAAGAGGCACTCTCAAAGGACACATTTCAGCTAGGTATCCTCTCAGGATACAGAGCAGTTCCAGTAAGGGGTGTGCTCTGAAGAGAGCTCAAAGGGCCAGATAGAGAGGCCACATTCAGCACTGGGGTTGAGATTCACCATTCCCGATTTTAAGTGTAGCATTGGTAGGTGGGAGAGGGTAGCTGAACCCTTCCCCTTCCCCTGCAATCCTTTCCCAAACAGCTTCTTTGCCATTTGGTCACTTATAATTATGAAACCCCACCAAGAGAAGAATGGCAAATAGTTTCGGGGTGTGAGGAGGAGTTCACAGCCACAGGTGTGGGGAAAGTTGAGCCTCCTCCCCCTTCCTATCAATGCTCTGATTTAAAACCTTTCCCCTCCACTTTTTGCAGTGATATAATTCCAACACAAAAAGCTATGGTTGGACCATAAAGAAGGCTGATCGCCGAAGAATTGATGCTTTTGAATTATGGTGCTGGAGGAGACTCTTGAGAGTCCCATGGACTGCAAGAAGATCAAACCTATCCATTCTGAAGGAAATCAGCCCTGAGTGCTCACTGGAAGGACAGATCCTGAAGCTGAGACTCCAATACTTTGGCCACCTCATGAGAAGAGAAGACTCCCTGGAAAAGACCCTGATGTTGGAAAAGATGGAGGGCACAAGGAGAAGGGGATGACAGAGGACGAGATGGTTGGATGGTGTTCTCGAAGCTACCAGCATGAGTTTGACTAAACTGTGGGAGGCAGTGGAAGACAGAAGTGCCTGGCGTGCTCTGGTCCATGGGGTCACGAAGAGTCGGACACGACTAAACGACTAAACAACAATAACAATTCCAACAATTCCAACACACTGATCTACTGCCATCATATCAAATTTCTGTGCCATGGAATGCTTGAAAACTTACTTTGGAGTCAATGTGCACAGGACTAGTCTTCACACCCTGCCTCCCTACTGTACAACTAGAAGGTACCAAGTTCACTTAACAGTTATGAGTTTTATTGGAGACTTGTAAAAGGCCCATCGTTCACCTAATACCATCCTTTTAATGCCAAGTGAAAAACTAGGCCTTCTCAATAATTCATGGAACACAGGAATCTATTATATACAGAATCAGACCACTGGTCCATTCAGCTCAGTATTGTCTGCACCAGGGGTAGTCAACCTTTTTACACCTACCACCCACTAATGCATCTTTCTTGATGGTAAAATTTCCTTACCACCCACCAGTGCTTGATGAAAGGAGGATTCAGCTTGTGCCGCAGAACCCCCTACAGCCCACCTAGAATCTTGAAACGCCCACTAATGGGTGATAGGGACCAGGTTGACAACCCCTGGTTCACACCAGGTGTCGGCAAGGTTTATCTCACCTGGGCCGGTTCACTCCTGCGGAGATTGCTCTGTGGGCTGCACAGATGCGCTTCCCACTCCGTGCAGTGCTGGTTTAGAGTCATGCGTGGGGACTCGCCAAGCAGGTGGCTTGGTTTGGGGGCGGCTTGTGGGCCGTTTAAATGACCCCTATGGGCCGCTTGTGGCCCATGGGCCGCAGGTTGCCGACTCCTGGTCTATACTGACTAACAGGGTTATACGTAGGAGTCTTTTCCAGCCCTATCCGGATATGATGGGATTAAGATAGATGGACTAATAGTTTCACTCAGTATAAGGCAGCTTCCTATGTTCCTATGAGCAGAATGAATAGAATATAGTAATATAATAATAATAATAATAATAATAATAATAATAATAATAATAATTTATTTGTACTCTGCCCATCTGGCTGGGTTTCCCCAGCCACTCTGGACGGCTTCCAACAAAGATTAAAAATACATTAAAATGTCACACATTAAAAACTTCTCTAAACAGGGCTGCCATCAGATGTCTTCTGAATGTCTTTGACATCTGATGGGAGGGCATTCCACAGGACGGGTACCACAACCGAGAAGGCCCTCTGCCTGGTTCCCTGTAACCTCACTTCTCACAGTGAGGGAACCGCCAGAAGGCCCTTGGTGCTGGACCTCAGTGTCTGGGCAGAATGATGGGGGTGGAGACGCTCCTTCAGGTATACAGGACCGAGGCCGTTTAGGGCTTTAAAGGTCAGCACCAACACTTTGAATTGTGCTCGGAAGCTTACTGGGAGCCAATGAAGATCTTTCAGGACTCGGCGGCCACTCCCAGCCACCAGTCTAGCTACCGCATTCTGGATTAAAGGCAGTTTCCGAGCCACCTTCAAAGGTAGCCCCATGCAGAGTGCATTGCAGTAGTCCAAGCAGGAGATAATTAGAACATGCACCACTCTGGCGAGACAGTACGTGGGCAGGTAGGGTTTCTGGTAGACAACTGCCCTGGATACAAAACTGACCTGCACCTCTCTTATAAAAGAGAGATATAAATAAATAACATGGAGTTTGTGGAAATATCAAAACAAGACTTGCTTATATATTTTTTGATACCCATTGGCTTCAATGTTTGATTGAGCTGTTTTTTTTTTTGCTTTTGTTTCATTTTTTATTTCTCAGGGAAACTTGAGACAACTCACTTGTATCACGTTGGAATGCTGAAATAAATTGAGATGCTAATGTTCTGTCTCAGAATTGCAGCAGTCACTAGAAAAGAGCCACCAGGTACAAACAAAGGAGAGAAGAGCCAAGTTGTCAGCAGTGCGAGAGAACTTTGTACTTCTGGCTATCTTTTAACAGATTCCAGTTGTGTCCACATATGGAATATTTTGCAGGACATTTAAATCAAACTGTTATATGTACTTGTGTGCCTTGTTTCTCTTTCTTTCCCTGCCTCCTCCCCCCTCCACGTCTTAGAGCTGAACTTGAAGCTGGTTTTATTGGTCATGTGTTTTATGTGTTGGGGGGTGGCAATAAAACTCTCAAATAAAAAGGCAAGTCTTTGGGCATCCAGAGAGCTCGCGGGGCAATTGAAGCCAAATGTTTGGATCCCAGGAAACTCTCCAAGGCTGGCTATTTACAGTGTCAGCTTGCACGTAGAGTACAGAGTTTAATTTTATATCGGGAACTTCGCTTCTTTTTTTTCTTCCTAAGATGTTTGCCATTTCAGCTCTGTGCACAATCAGCTGAATCAGTTAGAAATGAAATCCCTCTTGGCTCCATGAGGCTGGACCCTTGCCCAGCTGAGAACCTCAAAACTGGGCTTTACAGGGGGATAATGCGTAGGTGGAAATTCTAATAATCATAGCTTTCTGAATGCACCCTTGCGGAGTTACAGGAGGGGATAGAGAGAGAGAGACTAATGCTTTCTCAGCTATTGTGATCTAAAAGTGTGTGTGTGTGTACGTGCATGAGTGTGTGTGTGTGTTTCATGCTGGATCAAAATCAAAATGGCGAAAAGTTCAGCCTCAGTTGTTGAGGGAGGAGTGGGGTTGTTTAGTTTCTTTACAGTGGTACCTCGGGTTACATACGCTTCAGGTTACATATGCTTCAGGTTACAGACTCCGCTAACCCAGAAATAGTACCTCGGGTTAAGAACTTTGCTTCAGGATAAGAACAGAAATCTGGTTCCGGCGGTGCAGCAGCAGTGGGAGGCCCATTAGCTAAAGTGGTGCTTCAGGTTAAGAACAGTTTCAGGTTAAAAATGGACCTCTGGAACAAATTAAGTACTTAACCCGAGGTACCACTGTATTTAAAAATTTAGTTTCTTTGTTTAAAACATTTAGATACCACCATTACCCTAAAGATACTCAGGGTGCGTAACAATAAGATAAAACAAAATACATATGTATAACACAACAAAAACAGAAGATTACACCCATAGACCAGAGTCTTTCAGCTGAGTGGCAGTGATTCCTCAATGCCAAGTTCCTATAGTTTGTGGGGATGTTTTAACCAAGCAAGGAAGGTGCCAGTCATATTCCAGGGGAAATTCCAATTCTGAGGTGCCACTGCTGAAAAGGCCCACCCAATGTATGAAACGCAGGAGAAGGACATTCAGGGGGCCTCCCCTGCAGATCTCAACTCCTGGACAGCAACATGCAGGGAGAGGCATGCTTTTAAGTATTTAGGCCCTAACTGAAGCAGCTCACTGGGTAGGGTGGAACCAGGGTTGTCAGGTCAGGAGTACCCCATATTCTGAGCTGGAGTGAAAGCAACAACAGCAAATGCCAGTCATATTTGCTGGGCTGATTTCCCTTCCTGACATGGGTTGAATAAGAAGACACTTCCTATTTCCATTTCCGTTCCTATCATAATTCTCCAACATCCTTATCTGTGAATTAGAACAATTTGCAACCCCTTAGATTATACAGTGCAGTTCAACACAGTTCTTGACTCTTTACATCTATAAAAGTGAGGTGGGTATGTTGCCCATTCAAATGCAAAAACAAGCAAATAGCATTTCAGCCTTGCAACACATGACACGACAGGATTGTTGTTTTAAAAAAGCATGTGTGATGCCAGTGTTGACACATATACAAGGAAATGTGCATGTAAAACTTGCAGTATTCATCATGTGTGAAAATATATATTTTGAGAGTGTTGATGACGGACCTCACAAGACAATGGGAGGTAATGATGGGTAAAGAAGTGTGAAAAGAGAGTGCTCCCTCCCTCCCAGTCACCACACATAGGATAGGGCTGTTCAACAGAGATTAGAGGGTCAATCATCTTCTTTGGCTACAAAGATAGGAATCCCTTCTTTTTTTGCATTGCCACAAAGTCTGAAGCTTTCAGCATGCTTTGAGAGCGCCGAGTTGTATTAAATGGTAGACTGAGAGAGGGAAGGAGAAGAAAAAGCCCTCTGAAGAATTGGTGCTTAATTACAACTTAATTAGCATAATTATGCATGCTAATAGCATCTCAAATGAATAACAGTTGTCAGGAGGTTGGGACCATCTGTAAGAGTGTTGGATTAATACATCATTTTTTATTTCTAACAACGCTGTAACCCTTTGCCTGAAAGTGATTTTCATTAATCAAGTTCATTTTTATTATATAGAAAATTTGGCATTTTTCATTATGGGCCATTATCTTTTCCCCCATGTAGTCCTAATACAATACTAATGAGACCCCATGTGGCTACTCCAGGCTGACAATGGTAGTACAGGTGTATTATTATAATTGTTACAAACAGCATGTTGTACCTCGGGCCTAGTAGAGTTCTCGTCCCAAGGTACCCGGGTTTCTGGTTGGCATCATCCCCAGGGCTCAGCAGAGTTTCCAGGGCTTTATAAAAAACACACACATGTTTGTGATCACGGGGAGGGAGATTTAAAGAGACAGAGCAGTGTTTGTTTTCAAGATGGCTAACTTGGAAGCTTTCACACGCAGCTTTCCAGAATGCCCACCACTACTCTGCCCTCAAACACTGGGCTCAGGAGAAACTGTATGTGCTCTTCTTGAGGGGTTTTTTCGGGGAAAGGGATGGTGCAATGGCAGGGCTATTTTAATGACACCAATATTTATTTCATGAAGACTTGGGTGGAACAAATAATCTGAACATTGCTCACTGCAACATGTCAGCTTAAGCGGAGGGGACATTGTGGTATC